ATGCGGGGCTTGGCGGGTGCCAGAGTTGCCATTTTCAACGTCGGACATGATCACAAAAATCTAACGTGAATGAACGATAATAAAGCCTCAAAATGTAGATGATGGGCGTCCATTAGTCAACATCAGCAAGTGCAACGAAAAATTGAAGCATCACATTTCATAAGTGTTAGATATTATAATGGCTTTGCTGCAAATTTTTTAAATTAGATATTATGGCTTTGCTGCAAATTTTGAAATTATTGCTGATCAAATTGAGGAAATAAATTCGCTGGACCCAATTATATAGAAGGAATAATAAAATTGCAGATAATGCGTGTCTGGATGATTAATTTCATTAGCCATTGTTCTGGTCTTGCAACGCAATTCAATAAAGTAACAACGTTCATTCCTTTGATTTTAGACAGGAATAATTGAGATAAGGAGGATTATAGGGACAGTATAGAGGAGTGGCACTTCGAGAAAAGAGTACAACAATTAATTTAGAGACAGCCATACAGGTTCGTACAAATATGTATAAACTATAAAAAAAAAGTAATGTTTTGATAAATTCCAAAATACGTTAAATCAAAATATGAGCAAATGTTAAAAGATCAATGAGAAATTCGTATGATATGACAAGCTTACAAATCTAAGCATTGGCATTTCTTTTCCTGGAGGGGGAAAACAAAATGAATTGTGTCATCCACGCCTCGCTCTACTAAAGCTAGGCTTTCAACACCAAAGTTTTTCCCTCCTTCGCTAGATTTTCATTTTTTAGTTTTTTTTTTGTACGAACGAATGAATGGCGAGAATGTGCATCGATAAAAATTGAAGCAGCCGGCGCACGATATTTCCACTACTTCTCACTAAAAATGCGACGAGAGAGACCTGGAGTCTGAAGCTTTACGTACATAAGAAAAGCAAGAGAAATGATGTCCGTATCGGCCTGAGCGCAAACTTTCTTTCTTCGAGCTCTAGTAAAAATTCCCCACCTTTCTATCATGCTCTAGCAACCTTCAGCTTCACGGCTGATCGTGCTCTGCATTCCATGAACTTCATTGAAACGCGATTATAACTTTGCATGTTCCATTATTGATGTCGTTGATTAAAATTTTGCGCGTAGAGTTCATTCTTTATAAATTTTGTTTATTCAACGCACACGTAATAAAATTGCTACGTCGTATGAATTCTGACCGAAAAAAATAGACAGAATACAATGAAATAAAAAATAAATTACGAGAATCTAGAGCTGAAGCTAAATAGAAGGACGGCACATATGGGAAGGCAGGACATGTGAGCCCACATCGATAATCGTATTTATAAATGAACGAGATTACCATTTGAGTAAACTTGTAAGCATTTCACAGAAATTTTACATGAGAAGTTTCGCTGTTGTTCTGAACTTTTTGAAACAAAAGTAAAAGTTGGAGATAAAAGTTGGAAGAACAAATTAAAATCTTAATTAGTCGTTTTAATAGAAATATTTGACACTATTGAGTTTAAAAAATTCCGATAAATACCGCAGCATTAACATTCAGTAACTGTGAAACAAAATACTAATATTCATACAGCAGTTTTTGTTATTCGTCTGAAAAACAAATATCAAATGACTTTTTGCTACTAGACTTAATCTTTTTAAATAGGAAACAAAAAATTCCCATTAGGGTTGAATTCAGGCGGAAAAAATAAAAATTTGACTGGAAAGGAATGAACTTTAAATCATCAATTAAATGGCTACTCAAGTTAACAGGGGAAAGGTTAATGGACAGAATGGAGTAGAATTACAGAAATAACGCCGCGGTTTAAACCATAACGCATGTACGGAGTTCCGGTCAACGCCTGACCGGCCAAAATGAGAAATAAATTTGCCACGGTGGCCGATGCACTTAAGTGACCATAAAAATAAACATGACAAGTCAGACGCCTGATAGGGAAGTGTAGAGTTTATTTCTTAAGAGCTTGCTGACTTAGACCAGGCTTCCGTGCTTGCCAGGCTGAAGGGCAACCTGCACGCTGCGATAACGGGAGCTTGTCTAGCAGTGAATAGTGTGCCGCCGCCTTCTGCGTCTTACAGAACTGAATGTTATAGCTTTGAATGTGTAAAGAAACTTACTATACGTAACCAAAAAACTTAATAGAGAGTTAGAATTGCGAACAAATTAAATGTCGGAGAACACAAAAATATTCTCATGAAATCAAAACATTTATTGCGAGAAAGGCTCATTTACAAAAAAACGAAGGAATTGTCACATCAGCGACAGAAGCATGCATGAAATATTAGCAAAGACATACGAAACATTCACGAAGGATTAAATTGCCCGGATAATATAATTATTGACTTAATTTTAAACTCGGGTGCGTCCAAGGTTGATGATGTGCATTAGTTTCTTTGAAATTAAATTAAAATAATGCTCAAAAGCTCAGGTCTCACACCGGAGACCTAAAGTGTTTTCTAGCTTGAAAAAAATCTATGAAATAAAGCTCATGTATTTGATGGTTGGAAGTTCACAATCTATTTATTAGCGGAAAAATGAAATATTTTGCGATCTACTAATCGACACATTTTCAAGAGTTTATTTAGAGTTTAGAGCCCCCTCAAAAAGCTATAATTATTCCTGTTTTATACATCTCCCTGACTGTCCAGCTTGAAACGCATGTGCGATCCAGTGCATAGGGAACTAAATCAACTTATCTCGCACGCCTTCAGGCCATTACATTGCCAAGATGATCTCTACGCATGGATGCATCTCGCTCCAAGTTTTTTAATTTAATTTCATTTGAGTTTATTTTTTCCTTGAACCATCGCTTCGACTGCTACGAACAGCACAAGACGCGCGCTGCCTGAGACGGAGGCGCTGAAAAGAAAATAATGAACAACAGAATCGTTCCGGTGCGCAGTTACGGCAACTCGCGCGGCGGTCAAGGGCCGCGACTTTGCCGAGAAAAGCTGGAAAATCGTGTTATTTTCTACTGAAGCTCGCATGATAAAGCCTGCGAATACTTCGTCAATTTATTGAATGTTTTATACTCGATTTAACATCTAAATTTTCCCATAAATACTTTTTATTGAACGAGCTTGAGCTCGAACCAACGCTCCAAACCAGAAATAAAATAAAAAAGAGTTCGTTGGCAAAATAATAATTCAAATTCAGTATTGGTAAATTGTACTTCGTTTCACCGAGACGTAACATCACGTACAACTTTTTAAAATGAATGAATCAACAGTTTACAATACGTTGATCGCTAACAAGTCAAGTACGACATGACTCTAATAATTTCTTTGGTGCCTTAATTATCAATTCCTTAATCAGTCATTCATTCATAGAAATATAAACATATGAGAATTTGTATATAATTTTTAACTGTCGTGATGCGATTTTTTATTCCAGATACAGCCTACCAGAATGATACATACAGCGATGACATGAATGATGAATACGTCCTCGATCTCAAACTTTCGGCATCCGAAAAGCTTGAAATAATTCATCTTGAAAGTTACATGGAAATAATATAGAGCTAGAGATTTTTCGGAAGCATTAAGGAGTCTCTCCTCGATATTTTCTAGAGGACGTTTTCTTCGGAATCTACCATTCGTTTTCTATTAAGAAATTCCAGGAGTAACTACGCTTTGACAACATTACGCTGTGAACACGACGAACAATTCCTGCTATTCACTTTGAAAAAAAAAAAAAAACACAAGCCAAAGCTCATAAAAATTTGACTATTTTCACATTACTGGCAATATGAATCAACGACCATCATATCAAAAAAGTATTTTAAAGTCATTTTTAACGTATTAAAATTTAGCGTACACGGCAGGGTGTCCCAGTGACCAGTCCCAGTGGTTACAGTTCTGAGTTCAGAGTAATCAGGATGGAGCAACGAGCTATGGATTCGATCCCAGTTTCCTGTGATACTTCTGGTCAAAATCGGCAAGGAGGTCGTTCGGTTAAACACAATAGAATTGGAGCAGTGAGTTGCGTGTTCGTAACCGCAACAAGCTGTGAATTTTCTAGGATGTTAAGAATCGGCAACAGGCCTACTCTACCTACAGCATAATAAATGCTGAAACCGATATTATTTTATTATTATTAAATGATTCATTCTAAGGCAACAAAAAGTTTCAAGCAGTACAATAAATAAATTTATTGCAGTACAATAAACGTCAAGTTACAAGACAGGAATATAAGTGAGATTAAAAATGCGGAGAGTGAAAACATTCTTTATGCAGGAGGTTTGCAGAAATCAAGGGTGGGAAGGAGTGTGTCCAGTCAGCACCAGAGTTAGAAGAAATATGTATTTGGTCCATTTTCCTAGTAGGTGGTTCAAGTACATTTCGAAGTGCAGTGCTACAGGATTTTTGTGAAATATTTTTCGGTCAAGGAGGAGGTAGAAGGTGAGGCATATCGATCATCTTATTAGATTTGAGAAATTGCAATCTATCAGTGCATCTTATATTCACAATATCTATGGACATCACGATTCACGAGAGTGACACCAAAAACTACTCAAATGCCCTCGGACAGCTTGCACTTGGGCACACACCACAGCCAGTCCCCCTATGCATGGCACGGTGTCGCCAATACCGCTACCCTACCAAGATACGTTGAAGCGGACGGCGGTCATCGATTATGCCTCTTCATAGATACAATTTACGATTGAAACGAACGGTAGCCATTTACAATTAATGAAGGCGGCAGACGATCAATGCGGATGACATTCAACGATCGATACTGATCTAAAACTCAATTTGATTAAACGGTAAATTAGTTTTACGATCTAACGTAAAAACCTTCAGAAGGCACCAAAACCGCGACCTAAAATCCAAACTTCACATGCCGGCACATTAACATTGTTAGTCGAGGAGATACGAGAGTAGGTTCTAATGTTGAACCAGGAAAAATCAACTGCTCTAGAATATCACGATAATAAACATAATAATAAGACCAAATAATTACATTTTAAAAACAAACCAAATTTAACTCTTGTAAAAATTGTGTTCAACGAAGAGTTGTACTCACCTTGGCTGTGAATGCCAGAACTGGCGCAATCTTCTTCCTCCTCTTCCTCGTTGTAGTGGTCCGATCCGCCGCCAGATGAATCGCCTTCAGCGGACCCGATGCCCTCGGACCCGTCCAAGGAAGATCGCTCCCCCGACTTGAGGCGCAACCGCAGGTTCGACCCTCTAGGGAACTCCTCCTCGAGCTGGCTCACGGGGCTGCTGCAGTAATCTTCTTCGGGCTCTTCCAAAATAACTTCTAGTCCTGGAATGGAAAACAACAATCTTAACACGTTGACTATAACGATTGCTTCATCTTGTATTATTATTTCATCTTTTGTACTGTTTTTAAGCAGGCTTGCCAGACGGTCATTTTTTCCGGACAAATTCCGTGATTTAGTTCTTCTCATTTGCGTTGGCCGGCTAAAATTTATGATAGGGGTACTTCCTAATTAGACTTTAAATACTGCAAAAAGAAAATAAATGTAATTTTCATAGCGGAACCTACAAATAAACTAGTATACATTGAATAGTCGGCCTTTTTGGCCTGTTTTGTTCTCGGATTTGGCCGATTTTAGGCAACCTGAATTATGTACCACTACCTCCTGGAGAAATACATTTCGTGGTACGCATATGTACCAATACGTAGCCAACGTGTTAAATGAATACAGTTTCAAAATATCAGAAATTACAAAAGAAATTTTGGGAATAAAATTTAGAGCTAAACACAGCATCAACCTATATATGTATTACTTGAAAAAACTTTTTTTTTTCAGTTCTTGCAAATATCAAAAATATGGGCAGACAGCGCACTTATGAACGGACTCGTTGTCTTCACTATCACATAAAATATTCCAATGCATTAGGAACAAAATTTTACACCAAGAGTTGAACATAAAGGCAGATAACCCGTTGCGTAGTTCTTATTCATGCAAGGGATAGAAAACAAGACAAATTAAGCGTGCGCTTGCAACGAAATTTATGAAGCGAGACAAAGCTGCAAGTCGATATTATACTCCGTTCACGCTTATTAGAGATAAATATCACATGCAGTCTGCGTAAATCATCGTAACGTCACAGTCATTGCACATGAACTTTAATTGAAAATTAAAAACAGAAAAAAAAAATTNGTTGAATGTATTATTCCATCGAGCAAAAGAAAGCAAGTGCAAAAATCTGCAAACCGGACGGAATGCCGGATGACGCTGAGTGATGATGAATTGAAGGGCGTGCTTGAAACCCTACGGATGAAGAACCCCTTATGTGATGGAGTTCTGGTCCAAAATAGATCCTTCCTTGATTAAATCTTTACTGTTGAACCTTTGAACCCGTCGATTTTTTGTTTACAATTAAACAGGATTTTAGTCGCTGAACAGTAATTCATAATTACCAGCCGTGAGTAACAAGTTTCTCTCGAAAAAATGAAACTCGGAACAATCTAGTATTCTAGAAAAACCCACAATCACTTCTAGCTCGATGCTCGTTCCAAATTTTCTGACCTTTGCATCAAGATAATAATAAAAACATTAAGAAACAAGGCTTGAGTTTGGTGCTTCTCAAACTCAAATTATAATTGACGAAACCGTTAGCCTATTATTAGCCTGTTGATGCACTAGGTTAGGACCTGACCTTGCTCCTCGGTGTAGAAGGGGCGGCCCTCGCACTCGCCCAGGCCTTCGTCAGGATACTCCGCCCCGCCGTCGTCTAGGCCGTAGTCTGCAAGAGACGAGAGAATTGAGAAAATATGAACGAGGAAAATTTAAAATGAAAAAATTGGCGAATTGGACATCACGATTAAAGAAAAATTATTTTCAAAACCTAAATTTTATACTGAATTGTTGATAAATAAAGGGACTGATTCAGTGAAGATTTTTAGCCTGAAATTTTTTTCTTTATAGCAAATGCAATTAATTCCTTTAAAATCTTCAAGCTTAAACCTAGTCAAATAAATTTGAAGGCAGAATAAATGCAAGTCAACTCAAGTAAACTCTGTTAAAATAGATAAAAGCGTAGAAATAATAAGAAAAATTTCACAATAAGGCGCACAATTTCCAAGTTACCAAGTTATGAGAGCGCATGTATAGTCTCGTTCCCTAGACCAGCGTGACATCACGCGGTGCATCATCACACGACGTAACACGCGACATCGTTAGTGGCGTGACATCAACACTGATAGAAAGTACACGACTATGTATTTTATGAATAGAAAGAACATTAATTATCCGAATAACACCTAATACAACGCAAACTAGCTTTAGAAATAAATAGAGATGCGTTTGAAATAAAGAATATAATTTATCTTTTTAGAAAAATTTCAGTATCAGCCCTGCTTAAATTTAAGCCACTGACTTAATCAGCCACTGACATTTAAGTCAGTTCGTAACCGATAGGCGAAGCTCGTTTCTTTCAATTTCTACTTATTCAATATGACATACGAGATAAATGTCAACTAACATCAAAAATTTTTAGTGTAGGCGATCGCCTCTGCTAGCAGAGGCTGGACATAGGCTATGCATGTCCTGTGTGTAGTAGTCCTTGGAGAGCGCATATACGAGTACTGAATAGTCTCGTTCCCTAGACCCGCGTGACATTACGCGGTGCATCATCACACGACGCAACACGCCACATCGTTAGTGACGTGACATCAACACAGTTAGAAAGTGCACGAATATGTATTTTATGAATAGAAAGAACATTAATTATCCGAATCAATAGGCGAAGCTCGTTTATTTCAAATTGTTATTATTCAATAAAACATACGAGATAAATGTCAACTAACATCAAAAATTTTTGAGTTCATCATCAATTTTCGGATGATTATTTCGTAATTCTTTTTTCACAGCAGGCATAGCGAATAACGCTTCGAAAACGAAGGGAGCTCACATCGCAGAGAAAGTCAAACGATGAAGGGACAACATTCAGTGTCATCGGATACAGAATGTTCATAGGCAACAGCTGACACGAATATTTGTGATCAAATACCGCTCTTTTGATGCTTTACTATGGGAGCAATAGATTTGAAACAATAGTTCTAGAAATTGCATCGCCTACACGACAGGAATGCTTGATTGTACTTTGCAGTAGTGATGTTTGCGACACACTGAGCACCCATCTTGATTGCGGTAGGATAAAGCTTGCCCAAAACTGGAGCCAAATTACACTTCTAAGCAGCAACAGTGTTAAAGATAAGATAACAAAAGTATGCATCCAAATTAACGGTGAGCGTCTAGCCTTGAAGCGGTTGCAGTTCAGCACTCAAACCAACAGGAGACGAGCCTGAGCATGTATATACTTCATAAGAGCCTGAATACAATACGCCTATGAATCAATGTTAACTCCTGTCTTAATGATTTTCGCTATTTTACCGGATGGGTTTTTAAAAAATTGAGACTCAATTAAACAAGATACCCGACTGTATATTAGGTGATGGCTGAGATTCAAGCAGTAAATAACTACTGCGCCCGTAAACATGTCGGCAGTTGAGATTCCGTAAACATGTGTCGGCAGTTGATTACGCATCATGAATTAAAAATAACCACAAACAAAAAATTATACCAGTAATGCTGCTTAGAGCAAAGAGAAACATGGAGCAGTCAAGTAAGATGGGCAAGAAAGCTTCATACGAAACACATGATGGCAGCGACTCGGGCGCTGGGATCGACGCGCACCTCGAGGCGGCGCTGGGGGCGAGGCAACGAGAACCTGAACTGCTGTACATCTTGTGAGGCAGGTTATCTTGGGATGAAGGGAGCCATGGATCGACTTTGTGCGCATAAATCATTCAACAAAACGGATAGAAAGAGCTACATTCAAGCCATTATATCCATTCATAAGAGATTTGCAAAAGAACGTTTGAAAAACTCAAATGGTAAAAACACAAACTTCTGCACAATAAGCATAGAAATATCAGGGATAAATTTCTTAAACAGCTGAACCGATAAGGGCAAGTGAGAAATGCTCAATGCATTATCTACTTCAATAGAACATCATCACTGAGAAAAGTTAGGAGGGAGCCGTGACTTGTATTGATACAGCTGAGGCTAGCGTGGAGCCAAGGAGAGGAGGGGGCGAACAGTAACTTGAACAAGTTCAATCTTACCAGAGAAGGTTAGATTTTTGTTCTTGGAGTAGTTTTGAGATTGATTAATATATCGTAAAAACAAGTTAATCTAAAGATTAACTCCAGTTTCGCAAGAACCTTCCTGCACATTAAAATAAAACTTTACTTAACATCACGCTTCAGGCCACACCTCAGAACACCGATTCTTGGCCGGGACGTGAAACGATCGCCGGATGATAGCAGGTGACAATATCCACATGTGACGGCTGTCAAAAGATTACTTATTGTTCTTTGTGGAACTTCGGCTTATGACGAGGCGAAAACATTCAACTGCTGAACTGCGAATGCGGCGACAAAGGGAAACAGTAAACTCAGAGCACAACATTCGTTGTCTTTGTTTATCAACATTCAATCATTTTCTACCCTGACAGCTAAATGGACGACTCATCAAACAATTATTGACGCCACATATTTATCAGGTTTGAGAAGTTTTCTATTTCCTAGATATTTGTGACATTTGTTCAGAACGCTGAAAAAAATTAAATACTTTGACTGATTCCAGAACATTACATTAAATAGTTGTAAGTTTTCCAAAAACTACAATTAAATAAGTTATTAAACTCAAAAGTATGCTAATTTGAACCCGGTGACGAAAATTGAGGCAACTGATCGCACGTTACTTTTTAAGCCTAATATTTAACTACAACCTTGTTTCCTTCATTCATCTTCGAATGCCATAAAAGATTCCAAAACCGATGAAAGCAAGTGACTTCCAACAACAAGTTTGCGTGAAATAAATGCCGGTAAGAGAGGAGCTTATATCAACGCAACAAAATCGACAATACAGAGGACGGAGAGCAGTAGCTTCTGCCGCCGTACAGCAAATTACAGGCAGTGTTTATACAAGTCAGAGAGACGAAAAAAAATGCTGAGTCCAGCGGTCAAGATCGAGCGCCATCTGCCGACCGCGGGGGACTAACGGACTCGCAGTCTGCAGGGAAAAAGAGTACGCAGCGTCATGCTAACTCTATAGAGGAAAAGATGGGAAAGAAAATGGAAGGAATATGAGAAGAGGATGAGAGGATCGAAGAGATATCAATAACAGGAAAAAATGTTAATATCAATAAACCATGGCATTGAACCATAACTAAATGGAGCCATACGTAACGCCTTTCACAGTATTATTTCCACTCGATGTCGTAACATAACAAGATTTGTGAAAAAGCTCGAAGAAATATAGACGCCAAGTGTTCTCGTACGTCGAGTGCGTGCATTTCTCGACAGCGTATAGGGCAATAATGAAAATCCTTACTTATTGAAGTCCTACAGTGATTATTCCTTGCAAGTATTTTTCCTTAGGAAATCATTGATCGTCCAATAGAATACTGAAAACAGATGAATGGCTAACGAACTGGTTAGTCAGACTAATGATAGTAACGCGCAGCACACTTTGCTTTGACCGCCCTATCAATTGTCGGGAAATTGTATTTGAGATGCAAGTATAAACTTGCAAACTAATTATCACTATAAATGCAAAAACCTGTTTACATGAAGAGTGCTATTAACGCAAGACAAAGGTGCCGTTACCAATCACATAACACACACAATCAAGTCATACACAAATAAACACTTTTCTGGTAATTTTTGAGGTATGATGAATGGAAGAAGTTTACTCAACGGATCAGGCTCGACCCGATTGAGTAATTTCCAGAGCGTGACCGCGTCGTATTGGTAGGGATGTTTTCGCATTGCATATAGGATCAACGGATCTTCCGCGCTGGGATCCACTGCTAAGAATATGAGGAGAAATCATGAAAGCTTCTGTGAAAAATTTCAAAATTTATATTCAATGTTTCGTTTCTAGTAGAGAAACTACGGAAGCTTTAAACAAGATAGTTAAATGACCTCAATGTTCTACGCAGGTAGAGAAAACGGAAACTTCTAACAACACTAGACAACGCGTCGTACTAGTTAACGGACCGACCAGCCTCAACTCACGAAAGTTTCCAAAAAAATTAAGAATCTCATTCGAAATTAAGGCAGCAAGACCAAGACAGTGAATTCGAAGAACCGCACCTAAATTTCACTCGCGCAGACACTCACGCTGAAGGTGACCGCCGAATGAGAAGTGATTGAAGGAAGGAAGTCCACACGGTATTTATAATCCTGTACGTGCCATCGCGTGAAAATTTGCAAGATCTTGAACACAGAAGTCGGATGCAATGTTTCAAGCAATGGAAAACTAAGATTAATAATATGGCAGCGAAGAAATTATTCCATATCATCTTACGATCATCATCAGCACCATCTTAAATCACGAATGATCAGGCTAAATAAAGCTGAAGCTAAATGCGAAATGGAGCTGATCTCGACAAACTTGAAGTCAACTCTAAACAAACATTGCAAGTAACTTACTAAAAGCAAACGTATAACACAGCCGTATCAAGAACGATTTGAAATGACAAAACCAAAACGACCTTGATTGAAAAATGTGGCCATGAGCAAGTAAATTACGTTTCCGGCCCATTCGGATGTTCTGCTAAGAACGGTCCAGTCCATTCAGACTGCAAAGCAACAGTGCGTGTCCGGGGACGACTGTTTTACGGTCAAGACAGTATATTCCTCTCCCACGTGTATTGCTGACGTAACAATGGTG